CAATCTGCTCGACGAGACAACATATTTCATCACTTCAAAGACGTAAGTATTTTTATATGTTTTGATTAAAATTAGTTTATGCAGTGATAACATCGTATAATAGGCGAGAGGGGGTAAAAATGGAAGAGAAAGTAAATTATATATGTATATTGGTTAGATAATTGTATATTATACGCATGTACTTATATATATGGCAAGCGAATTTAAGAGATTGGGAGAGAGGCAAGCGAGAGAGAGCAGAGAGTGGGCGAGCAAAATTAGGAGAGAGATGAATGATATATATATATTGGTTAGATAATTGTATATTATAATATTCATTTGTATAAAAAACAAGCAAGATTGTGAGAGAGAGGAGAGAGGCAAGTGAGATAGTAAAAGGGAGGAGAGAGGCGAGCGAGGACACAGAATAGGAGAGATGTCAATTGTAGATGTATACTGATTAAATAACTATATACTATACATATATATTTGTATATTTTATACATATACAAATGTGACAAATTATACAAACTCGAAGTCAGCCTACATAATTAATATATAATGTTAGTTGTCAGTGAAAATTATAGCAAGCTATAGATATAACTACCGATTAAGTAGTATAAGATTGCTTAACCACATAATTTTTCCAATTTAAAATCATATTTTGTATATATATAATATAATTGTGACTGCCATTGGAACATTCGACTTATGTTCCAGCATATTTTCTTAAGCCTCTGACAAGTTTGTTTTTGCATAGCAGAAAGTGAGAAAACACCAATGGCTAGTTATCACATTGCAGAAGGATATCTTCAACCAGAAGAAGAAGATTCAAGGCCACAATACTTCGATGGGAAACATTATCGTCATTGGAAGGCTAGAATGAGTGTGTATGTGCAATCAGTTGACCTTCAATCATGGCTAATCATACAGAACGGACCACTACCAATTCCTGGTGATCAGGAAGGAAAGGAACATGACGACGAGGCATCCTATACAAGAGAACAAATGGATGTCCTGCAAACCAATGCTAGAGCCAAACACATACTTTACTGTGCTTTGAGCATGGAAGAGTTCAAAAACACCTATAGATGTAAGACTACAAAGGAAATGTGGGAGAAGTTGGAGATAATCCACAGAAAATAAAGGAAGGTCGGATGTATCAACTGATTCATGAGTATGATACTTTCTTGATGGAAGAAGATGAAACCATTAAAGACATGTTCGGGAGGATTAATAAAATTCTTAGAGATCTCAGGGCTTTAGGGAGATCCTACTCTAGTGATGAACAAGTCAGAAAAATTTCTGAGGATTTTGCCTAGAGAGTGGAAACCTTTTGTTGATGCAATGGAATATGAAAGTCTGGTTCAAATGTCATATGATGAACTTCGAATCAAGCTTATCATTTACAAGAAAACTTGTCTTCAAAACCATGGAAGGGAAAGAAAGAGATTGAATGTTGTATATTCAAAACCTTCTTTGAGGAAATAGAAAATGAATTAGATAATGATGAAGAAAATCAGAAAGACTTGGCAATGATTTTCAAGGGAATGGACAACATTATGAGGAGAAGAAAACAAACCAAGAACTATGGAAGGAGGAAAAACAAAGGATCGGCATAAACTGTTATGAACATGGCAAGCCTGGACAAACACATGTCCATGACTAGACTAAACAGTTATCTAGAATTGACAATTGAAGAAATTCCTACAGAATATGTAACTTTTCGAACCTCATTGGTTTATTCCAAGTATCACTTTTGTTTCTTCATTTTCGTCAATGTTATCATCTCTCATATTGTTTAGAAGGCTTTCAACTTCTTTACCACCTGCTATATATGATTTTAGTAAGGCATGATACATCTCTCTGTTTACAGCGACAATGGGCCTCAGTGAGTGAAAAAATGATTCAGCGTCATTCACATTGCCATTCTCCGCAAACAAACTGAGTATTCTCATGATGACCTTAGGGTCAGGCTTCCATCCTTTTCTATCCTTCTTCAAGGAAAGAGCAACTTTCATGCATTTCACAGCCCTCTCAAACTTATCTTTATCTAGGTAGCCTGCCGCCAGCCTCCCCCAAATATTTGGTGTTAGTATCTTCCCTTTTGTAGATATATCTTCAAGCATGGTCTCTGCCTTTTCATATAGCTGTTTATCCATATACCCTATAATGACTATGTATGGCACTCTGATATCATAACAGTTACCAGATGTCTCCCACTCTTTGAGCAACTGCTCCGCTTCTTCAAGTGAATCAAGTCTCACAAGAGCTTCTAACATATTTATATAATCCCGATTTATGCACCTCTTTAGAGCACTCTTCTCGAGAAACCATAATCTTATGACTTCATCTTTGTTTCCTAGTTTAGAATGTACAGAGATGAGGTAGTTATACCCAATCCCTTCTTTATTATCGATCTTCTCCTCCGCTTTCTTGAGGAAACTGTTTGCTTTATCATTTAGGCCTTCTTTAACATATGTATTTGCCACAGCAGCATAGGTGTTCCAGTCCATGACAATGAAGGATTGATTCTCCATTTCATTTAAGACCCTCTCCATCCCCTCAATATCTGATCTTGCTCCATACGAATTGATACAGATTCTGTAACTTAAATTGTTAGGTTGGACCCCAATTTCCTTCATATGGTGTAGCATTTCAGGGATCCTTTCATACTCACCAGTTCTCGTGTACAGTGACATTATATCGTTGAAGGCCACAGAAGATAGAGAGACACCCTCCTCCTCCATCTTCCGCAGATGTGTCAATGCCTTTTCCATTTGGCACTGGCGAACATAACAATGTAGAAGAGCACCATATGTCTTATCATTCTTATCTTCTTTGCTCAAGTTATTGAAGTAGCTTTCAGCATCAGGAAACCCATGAACCCTACCAATCAGATCCAGTTGTACTGCATGTTCAGTTGATGAAAAAGTGAAAATACCAGAAATCTTCAACCATTCGGAAGCCTGCTCAACAATTAACATCCATTCAGTCAGGACAAAGAACACATATACATGCTGAAACAGAAGAATCTGATAAATGAGTAACATTGATGAACCCTACCACCACCACCACCACCCCAAATGATCGCCTGAGGTCTTAGGGTCATATACGAATGGAGGTAGTAGGTACCCGTGGAATAGTCCAAGCACACACAAACTGGATCGCTCTGGGCATCATCAATCATAAAAACAAGTCCTAAATTATTACTAACACTTGAGCAGCTTCACCAATTCCACAACTCCAATAACAGAAAAGTAGATTACTCTATTTCTAATATTTCAATTAGCTGCAAAGGTTTCAACAAAATAAAAACAATAAACAGAAAAAGCAATTTTTTTTTTTACTTTCAAAAAGAAGTAAGAACTGATAGGTGGTACCTCCAGGGCCTGACCGAAGCGTTTGCGTTTACGAAGATCAAGAATGATGCGTTGAATCTCCGCGAATCGGATTTTATTGCCCTTGCAAACCCATTCATCTAGTTCATTGGTTACACTACAGCTAGGGTTTCCCAGTGGACTTATTTTAGAGTAGAGTGACACTTTCTTCGGCTTGTCGGAATGGTAAAATCGATTAGTAATTCCGGTTAGGGCTTGGATAATCCGGCGATTCACTTGCATTTTCCGGTGAAATTTGGGGCAAAAATTCCTGCTCTGTGAAGCACTGTGATTAGGGTTTTAGGGAGTTTTTACGCGGGGTTTAGGAGAAGGACGAAAGGAAGTTCCATTAATTGCATATTCACCCTTCAATTTCTGAAAATATACAACTCCAGCTACTTTTTAAATTTAAATTAATTGTGATATTTGGAAAAATTAACACTCCTTGTTTGGCGAAAAGCTTGGCTAAATGCCTTAATTTTTAAAAATAAGTATCTTGACCCTTCAAAAGTTTTATCGAATAGTTTGAATTTACGATATTTAATGTAGTCAATTTAATTATTACAAATCATTAACTAGTAGTAGGAGAAACACCTATAACTTTTTATATCTATTTCTCTTATCTAAAGTAAAATTAAATTTTCTTTCTTGAAATCTGTTATTTCTGCTCTCAGTTAATTTTCAAAAAAAATTGATTAATTTCAAAAAAATACGTCTTATAACATATTATTCATTATCTAAATAAAATATTCTTAACAATAATATTCTTGACACGTCTCAAATTAAACTCAACTTTCCTTAAAGAATACTTTTACGATAATATGACTACTAGTATCAATTTAAGTTGCGTTTGCGTATTGATATAATCATAGTTCTACAAATGATTTACTTCTCACCTACACTCTTGCATTTCTTCCGATCAATTAATTGAAGTTATAAGTAGTCAATTTAGACTGTGGCCAAGAAAAAAATAAACTTGATAATAAAAGCAAACAAGTGTTAAATGATCAGAAAATTTTAAAAATTATAATTTTTATTATTATAAAAATAAATTGACTTTTTTCCATTTTTTAGTATAAGGTATTAAAAATAAAAGGGTAAAAATATTTAATAAAATTACATAAAAAAAATCTCATTCTGGCAAAAAGATTTTTTCCAAAAGCAATCACCTAATTAGAAATTAAGGTTGATATTAATAAAAGTCAAATCTCTTAATTCTAGTCAGAAAAAATGCAAGAATTTCCAAAGGAATAAATTGGCTTTAAATTAACGTTAGATGTTAAGTTCTTCTTTTGGAAATTTTAGTTCTAGAATTAATCAATGTTTTGAAACGAATATATTAACTTACGACTAGAACAACTAATTAATTTGTGCAAGACTTGAAAGGTTCAACTCTCAATTTTGTTAATTAATATCACTGTCCACTTTTCATTATCATAGTTTCTTTTTTTAAAATCAAATTATATAAAAAATTTAACTAACAGTATTTTTTCAATCATATTGATATGCGAAAAATTACAATTTATTATAGTACTTTTCATATAGTTTTGAATATCTAAATTTTTTATTTAACATATCAAATTAATATAATCTAATTAACTTAAAATATTAATCAAATTAACTATCTAAATATGCAACATACCAAATAAAAATCATAACTATATTGAGATTTGGGGTTGCATGGGAGGGGGTTTAATTATTTTCTCCCTTACTCCCCTTCTTGGAAAAAAGAAAAAAATAGTTCAGTCATCTAAAGATAGAGTAAATAAGGTTGTGGCTAGGATATATAATTATACATGTATGATTCAGAAGGGAAAAAAAAACAGTTTGATATACAAAACACTCGTATCAATCTAAAACAACCTTCTAGTTTTGTTATGTGGATTTTCCACACATTGAGAAAGGCATTGCAACAACTTCATTTCCAATGTTTTGAAATGTGCAATTTGCATTTGCAATTCCATTCTTTCCTTTTTCAAGTTTTGATTCTCTTCCATGAGATGTTGCCTTGTAATTGTATTCTCTTGATCATTATTATTTGTAGCTAATAATAATGTGCTCTTTTTAGAAGGATTTAAGTATGTAGGAAATACACTTGGCTCACATTTCTTTCTTGTTATTTCTGCTAGCAAATGTCTACACCCTTTCTGGAACTTTCCATGATGAAATTCCCAACGTTTTGATGCTACTTTCTTGAATCCCTATATAAATTTAAATACATAAATTTAATCAAATAAATACACAAATAAAAGTTATTTGATTTTCTATCAAGTTCGTAGAAATCTAATATAAAATAAAAGACGAGATGTAAAAGTCTAACATCAAGAAACACTATAACAAAAATAACTTTTAGCGACATTAAATATTGACATTAATAAAGAGTGTTTAAGTCTTTACCAGCATAAGTGTCATTAGAATGAATGTCGCTAAAGGCTTTAGGGACATATACAAAAAGTGACAATTGCCACTAAAAATACATATTTAGCGGTCATTATGAATTAATTGTCACTACTGATCATTTTTGGTGTAGTAATAAAAGGGTGAGTTTCACTTCCACACTCTACTTTAAAAATCAACCCACCGCTTTATTCTGCCTTTTAAAGTGCGCGTTAATATATTATGCGTAAGACTTAAATAAATAAAGTTCTGATCTTGAGTTACCCTATAATTTATAGCAGAAAGTAAGCTTTAAAAACTCGCTTTCAAAAAAAGATCATGTGAATCGTATAAACGAATTTCAAAATCTTGACAGTGCGTGAGATCTTTATCGAAAAGTCAAAAGGATTGTAAATGAAATAGTGTATTCTATTTTATTGTCAAAATAAGTTCATCACGAAACCATAGCAGGACAAGATGTCATCAAAAATTGACTTTGGAGTAGGATGATTTTGTTGATCGGTTTTGGCTTTCAACCAATTTGACTACCATTTTAGTCACCAAGAGATGTATGTCACTATAGACCAAAATTTTGACAAATATGAAATGAAAAATTTAGAATATTTTTTCACGATCTTTCCAAAATAAATATTTGGAAGCTTTTTTGGACAAAGACCACCAAAGATTTTCATGTAATTCCACGTTTATACTTTAAAAAATGAGGTGATTTTCAATTTTGATTTTGTATATCACATTTTTACTTTGCACCTGTATTAAGAAATGATGTAATTTTATCTTACTATCCTTATTTTATTTTCTTGGAACTCAAATTTTCAATCAATGAATATGAATCATTTATTTAAGTTTTTTTCTAAATTGGTCAAACATGTATTTTCAAGGCTAATAACTCATAAGGGTAAAAAAGAAATGATATAATAATTTATGCATTGATTTTTATAAAATGAAAGATAAAATGGATCAACTATTTGTAGAAAATATAAAATGAGACGAAAGAAGTATCTAACAGGGACATAAGTTTTTAAAAAATGTGTATTATAATGTAAAAATATAAACTCAGCAATAAATAAATATTTAGTGATAAACTAAAATTAAAGGGCGGTGCAAAATATATAGGTAGGCCAATTTGACAGCAATTAATTATGTGATTTTTTTCAAAAATAAATTAGTGGAGATCACACAACAAGAAGTTTATCAAATGGACTACAATTTTGCTAATATAATTGCTTAATAAATTTACTTTAGGCCACCAATGTAGACTAACTCCACAGCAAAATTATCAAACCAATTACCAACAAATACATGTCATATACCATTGAGTCAATTGGTTGAAAATTTGAAATAACATATCTTTGGGCCTATGATTGAAGGGACTAATTTTAGGTTTTTTTTTTTTAAACCATAAGGTACATTTGTATTATCTTTCACCTTATTATTTGCCGAAATATTATGGTTTCACAACCATGATTCCACTTATTAATTAAAACGAAAAGTAAGTGAAACAAATCGAGACAGAAAGAAGATATAGATCGAGACTTACGTAGGTATTAAGTTGACGAATGAAACTAGAGAAATTGTTGTGCTTGAAGTATTTAGGTAACATAACCTCAGAAAACTCATCTGGACACCACACAACAAATCCATTTCCTTCACCATTCCATGAAACAACCTTAATATTACGATTACTATTTTCTTCTTCTTGCTCCTCCAAAAGATCGTAAGTTTTCGATAAGAACGGCGCCGGACACTTGGTTCTCGTCGTCGACCGTCCGATTTTCCGATGGATATTCCGATTATCATCTGTGGCCATAGCAATATATTAATGGTATTTTGTTGAGCAACCAAAAGGGTGTAGTGCTGCTTGTTCTATTTATAATAAAAACGTGTAATATGTATGATTGAAAGATTTTAAAAGGGGCCGGGCACGTTTTGTTCTATTTTATCGCTTTTGGTGGGCTTCCCTGTTTTAAAAATATAAATTAAAGTTATGATAAATATATTAAAATATTTTTTAATTTGGTTGCCTTAAATATGTCACGTGAAAATTTAAAGTTAAAGATTTGCTAAAAAAAAAAGAAGAGGTCGTTCTTTTTTAAACAAACTAAAAAGGAAATAAGATTATTCTTTTTTAAAGTGAGGAAGTATAGAGTGTAGAAATCTCAACAATTTGGACGTTAACCGTATTATATTGGATAGTTTCTTAAATTACAATAACCTCAAGTTTATTAAAAACTCACTGATATATTGCTTCTTCGCTCGATACAATAGAAAATGATACAAAAGTAATGTATTAGATATATAAGTTATATATCAAATGCATTACTATAAATCATATTCATACTGATTTAGGTTTAAAATATTTGAGATTTTGCATCAATAATGACATTTGTACTGGTACGTAAACAAACTTATAATTTATGTGACAGAGGTGGAATGTATATATTATATTAAGAGAGAAGAATAAAGGATTTTTTCATGATTAATTTAAATGGTAGGGTTTTTTGATGTTATATTATTTTAAATTAATTATATAATTTTCTCTTTTTTATTTATTGATATTTGAATTCATATTAAACTCTCAATTAAATTTAAATCACAGACTATGAGGTCAATTTCAAAATGATAACTTTAAATTCAAGAAGATTTTCTCTGGCCCTCTAATTAAAGGTACTTAAAAGCTTCTCTGTCAAGTGCATGCAAACATTATTTTAGTTGTATAGACAACAAAATATTCAATCAGTGGATATTTTTATCTTTTTGTGGTGATGGAGATATATATGATAATTATGTTAGACTATAGAATATGTGTAGAAGTTTCATGATTTTTGAATATAATAATAAGCCAAAGATATATGGACTTTGGACACATTTGTCTAATTAGAATTTCTTTTAACGTAACGTCAAAGACCAGTACTCATTCTTCAAACATACCATATCTTATCATATTGTTGTCGTGTGCTATGTAATGTTTCAAAGTATTTTAGTTTTATATAAATTAAAAATATATATTTATAATGTAAAATATCACAAAATCTAAAATTAAATTGTATACTATTAAAAAGATAAATTTATTGGAGTACCAAAAATTGTGAAAAGGTATAAGGAGTTTTTGTCATTCTTTAACATTCGAGACAGACCCTGCTATAATACTATGTGAAATTAGGTCTTAGGCTTAACTCACACCCCAAAAGCTAGCTCAAAGGGAGGAGGATTATCCAATCCTTATAAGAAGTCTACCCATCTCATTAACTACTGATATGAAACTTTTGTCATTCTTTAATAGCCTGGAAGAGTAATGTCACTTTATTCAAAAGTATTTTACTTTTATATAAATTAAGAATATATATTTATAATGTAAAATATCATATATTTGTATAAATATAAATTATTTCACAAAATCTAAAATTAAATTGTATACTATTAAAAAGAGAAATTTATTGGAGTAAAAAAAATTGTGAAAAGGAAGTGGAAGTGTTTGTGGAGGATTGTCCGAGGTTTATAAGGAGTCTACCATCTCATTAACCATCGATGTGGGACTTTTGTCATTCTTTAATACTCGAGACTATCTCATTAACCACCAATGTGAGACTTTTGTCATTTTTTAACACCCGAGACGGACTCTGCTATGATACCATGTGAAATTAGGTCTTAAGCCCAATTCACACTCCAAAAGTTAGCTCAAAGCAAGAAGGATTGTCCAAGTTTTATAAAGAGTCTACCTATCTCATTAATTACCAATATGAGACTTTTGTCATTCTTTAATAGTCTAAAAGAATAATGTCACTTTATTCAAAAGTATTTATTCAATTTTTATTGCAAATCCAAAAGTAATATTTTCCAGAGCACTATGTTTGTGCACGCACGGCATGACACATATTTCAACCGTATATCATTTGATGCTTTTGTGTAAATAAAATTCTTCTTGAATTAATAGCAATCTTCATTATTTTTGACATTTTTTTATGTTTGATTGATAAAAAATTTAAAAATTATTTTTTAAAGAAAACAAATTGCTAAAAAAGAGGAGCATGATACATTTAGCGAAAATAGAAAAAACAGGTTTTATAAGTACTCAGCATACCTCATTTTCATATATCGTTATAGATTTTTTCACCACTATTCATATAATTTTTCATAATCTTTTGTTTAGGTTACATACAAATATTTATAAATTAATATTTATTTTTCTTTTTTACCAAATAAGTAGTTGGTATGTTTTTTGAAATACGTTTATTTTTTCTTCTATTTTTACTTTTAATATTTGAATATGTTTCAAAAAATTCAAACTCTTTAGTTGATAACTTGATATGTTTTTTTTTGGATGTTTTAAAAACTTTTTTTTTTACTTTTTCTATTTTTGGTAATGAATAACATGCGATGAACAATTACGTAGTATTTTTGAATAGAGTATATTTGACCTTCAACAAATTCAAAACTCTCTGTTTACCTAAAAATCAGATGAACAATCACAATTGAAGAATACTTGGAAAATCAATTTTCATGTATTGTATATTTTTCCAAGGTTAAGATCAATAATAGAATCATATAATTTCAAATTAAACCAAAAAAATATTATGTACTTTTTACGCATAAACTAGATATCATCTTTTTATTAGCGTAATACTAAATAAATATATTATTATAAACTTTATAATAAGCGATGAGATGCCTTTGACTTGTTGGTTTGATTAGGAAAAAGTTCTAAGTATCAAAATTAAACAAATCAAATATAGGAAAGTGCAGCTTTTTATATATATTTTGTTTCATTTTATTTATATCAAAGTTAGTTTGTTAACTGACTTGATTTGACTCTAATTAAATCTGTTTAGTTGGAATTTAGAGTATAGAGCCCATGTTTGCATGTGTAATTATTTTTGTTTTTTGTTTCAAACGTCTTCATCTCACATTCTTTAAAGTAAGTTTTTGAGAAAATACGCAAAAGTTTCTTAAATTTGTACTCAAAAGTTATTTATACGTTTAAAGTATTATAGCGATATATTACACACTTATTCTTGTTAAAAATGCAACTAATATCACCTCCTAATGTACAAAATCAGTCACATTTATTAAAGTTGTGTGCACTCGTCTGCCAGATAATATGCAAGAATACACGTATAATTTTTTAATTTTTTCACTTTTTTTACTAACCGATTTTGATTGTATCTTCTCTCTTCATTTTTTCACCTTTTTCCTAACCATTTTACCTCTGTCTTTTCTCTTCTTCCTTACATGAATGACACCATTTTTATCTTTATTCTTTTGTCTTCTTTTTATCCTGAATAACTACATTTTCAATCCTTTCTTCTAATTATAAAACATATTAAATAAACTATTATGCCAATTAAGATCGACGGAGTAACAAATATGATTAAAAAATTCGTGAAGAAATGGGGGGCATGGATAGCAAATTAAGTCAAAATTATTATACAATATAGTTTTGTCCCACTTTTCATCGTCATTGACGTTAATTTTGGATACGACACTTATATTTCTCAGCTTCTTATAAACACCTTTCTTTCTTTTGGGTTTTTCAAATATGGGTCAAATGAACTTTAATTGGTAATGTTAATTTTAAAATTTCTTTTTAGTTAGTAGTGTTTGATGGTAATGGATTGTGAAATTTGAAATAAATATTTTAGTTTGATATTGATCAATTTTTATATTGTCGAGTCAATTTTGATTTTGCTATGTATAAAAAATTTATTGAATCCAAAATCCTCGTTCTATCAAATTTGCAGCGCTATGTATACTTGATAATCTTGATAAGTGGGGGTGAGGAGCAATTAACTTTTCTTGTTAGAAATATTTAGGAATTTAGGGTTTGACTCTTTAATGTTCTTTTGATACTAATGATTATGTAAAATTTAGATTAGAAAATTATCTTTTTTGGTGAGTAACTTTGTTGAATTAAGTATGAGTTAAATTAGTGAAGAATTCTTAAGAATAATGATATTGAGTGAGAAATTATAGAGTTTAGATAAGAAAAAAAAATGAAGAAGAAATCTAAAAGAAATAGAGGGGCGTGGAGGTAAAAAAGAACAATATATTTTTTACTTTATTTTGATTTAAATGCGCCTAATTTACTTTTTAATTTTATTTTATTTTCATATCAGTTTTAGGATGGTATTAGTTAAACTTTTATCAAGAATGATTGTGTAATAAGTCGCCATGATATTTTAAACGTGTAACTGACTTTTCACTATAAATTAAAAGGTAAATTTATGGCTTTTCCCTAAGTTCTTTGATTTCCCATCATGGTACATAAATTTCTTCAAGTTGTGTCTATAAAAAAGATTATTTTTCCTATTTAGTTATCATACACATGCTATGTTATATTATACATTTGTCCTATTTTGATTTGTTATTTCATTATTTATAAAAAAAATTCAACGTAATAAATAGATATTACGATCAATCAATTTTAAGTATTCAATATACTTTAATTTAATTTTATATTAAAAAAATTTCAAATATAGCTTAATTAAATTATTTGTAAAAGCTTGATATCGTGACCTTCAAACAATACTTGACATGATAACCTTCGATTTATTATTAGGATCAATCGATTAAACACTCATGCTACACATATTTTGTTCAAAAATTGAAGATCACCCATGTTTCATTTTATTGAACTAAAAGACTATTTCACGTGTCGAAGCTCAAACTTCATAGTTATCTACGAGAATTTGTACTAGTCCAGCTATGAATTGATTTTTTTTATAAAAAAAAAAAGCTGGATTGGAACTTTATTATTATACATTGAATTACCTTTAAAATTTTAAAATTTGAGCATAAGCTTTGACCATACTAGTGTTTTCTATATATTTCAGAGAGACCTATTGAAAATATCTCTAAGACTGTCAATACACTTGGGGTATTTTTAACACTTCTGTCGACTTTTTATGAAGAGTATATCATGCTCTTACAAGAGTTTGAAATCACTTGCTATGTTATGTGAAAGATCGTAAATATATTTAAGTTCCGTTAATCAAATAAATGAGTATTATTAAACTTGTCATTAATTCAAGGATAAAACTTATAATTCGTGTCAAATTTAAAAGTGTTTTAAGTACTTTCTCAAGTAATAAGTTTACTTTTGAGTTTTGTCATAAAACAAAAAATTGTCAAAAAGTAGCTAAATACAAAAGTGGCTATTTTTGCCAATTTCCCCCCAAAAAAAGGGACAAGACAAGTTTCTTGGCCCAGTATTTATTGGGCTTGAAATAAGCTGGACTACAAAATTTACATTCCTTCTCATTTGGGCTAAATTTCAAATGGATCGGGTCATACAAAGCTTCTTAAACCCGCCTAAAACCCCCCAAATTGATTTCTTCTTCGTCTTCTCCAAATGAAGCTTTCTTTCTCTGCCTTATGTAAACAAATTCCAATGCATTTTCAGAGAACAATGATCAACCGTTTCTATGGAACAACATCTACTAAATATAAGAAGCGTGATTGGGTTTTCGCAAGAATTGCACCTTTAGGCAGCCCAGACATGTCTATGGTTCCAGTACTAGAACAATGGGTTGAAGAAGGGAAAACAGTGGCGAAAGGAGAGCTTCAGTGGATTATCAAAAGATTAAACAGCTATAAAAGATACAAACATGCCCTTGAGGTACTTTATTTCTGTTTTTTTTGGTTGTTTAGTGAGTTTTGATACTATGCATTGTGAAAGAAACTGTTTGTGTTCTCTCTTTTCTTAAGCAAATGATACAAACATGAACTCAAATGGATGGCACGAACCTAAGCCCTTAATCCGAATCAGTTGCTACAGCAAATATGTCTCTAATATGAATTAGGTATTACACATGAGTTGTATTGACCAAATGGTTAAATTGTAATGAACTAACTTGTTATGAGTTAAAATAAAGGAAAAAAAGGACAAATATACCCCTCAACTATCGTAAATGGTATGCAGATATCCTCCGTCATACTTTTGGGACAGTGGTTCCCCTATCGTTCATAAATTAGAGCATATATGCCCTTCACTCTAATGGAAGACTAAATAAGGCCTCGTGACGCTATCTTATCCGTCGATAAATGTCGGATCGGTGGATAAGATTATGACACGTCTATGTCCGTCCGTTAGTATAAAGGGTCTGTATGCTCTAGTTTTTGGACGGCAGACATCAATGTCCCAAAAGTATGACAGGACTATTTGCATACCATTTATGATAGTTCGGGGTATATCTGTCCTTTTTCCCTAAAATAAAAGATTGAATTAGCCTGAGCTTCGAGGAAGATGGTGATAACAATGCCGGAAAGTATACCAGCTATGTGTTATGAATTTGAGAGCTTAGTGAATTATAGTGTAGTACCAGTGTGACGTGAAATTTGGATCCTCTCTAACAGGGAAGTAAGGCCCTATATATATAGCTAAGCATCAAGGGCTAAGATCCACAAAATATGTTCTCTTAAAACCCTAATAGCTGCTCATTATCATCATTGAGTAATGATAGGGATCTTGTGTAACGGTTGAATATATGAATAAGTGTAATCCGGTCTGCACTTCGTACCTGGTACCACGTCTCCGGAGCTAGATGGGCTTCCACACGTAGCATCGTATCCAGATGACTTACCTGTTCCTTGCCGACTTCTCTAAATGACTTCATGCCGACTCAAGCTTGTCGCTTCTGCCTGACAACTTATGATTCGCCATCTGTCTAGCCTGGATTTCACCCTATACAGTGCTGGAGAAATTTTGATCCCTACTAAATTAGGTTCTGGTGGAGAAAATAAGTTGGTGCAGTTGATTTATTTGACAGCTTTGTTGCGTTTGTGTACAAGTGCAAAGGCAGATCGAAGATTTAAACTTAGTGGTTTGAATCTTTGAGCTTTTTAGCTCTAAACCCATTTACGGTAAATTAAAATTATCGGTCCAAATCTAATATTTGTTGAAATTGTAATAAGTTCTTACACATATATCTATGATCTGTGTGAAAAATTATGGGTTCAGATGAGCCCACACCCAAAAGGCTACATTTGCCTCTGTACAAGTGCATGCTAGAAGTCACCAAATGATCTAAGGCATACCACTCAAAAGGCCATGCCATTTTAAGAAGAAAGTTCGTGCCTACTCAGTTTATGCAAGTTGATATTATCGAAATAATAAGCTACAAATGTTGTGTACATAGATTGCTTCCTAGTTGTGATTAATCATTGGAAAAAATAATTTGCAGATGTGTGGTTCCTTGCTCCTGTGGCCTTTGGTCACTTTGTTAATTTAACCAAAGGTAACAACTAACGAGCATAGGAATGAAGAAAATAGCTCCTCGCATTGCAAAGACTAATTTGTTGGTGTGAAAAGATCTGAGCTAATTACTTATATATCTTCATTCTTGATTGTATAAATTTTGCCCTTTCATCCTTGTGAGTTTGTGAACAGGTGTCCCATTGGATGACAGACAGAAGATATCTCCCCCTCCAAGTTGCTGATGTTGCAGAACGAATTAACCTAGTCTATAAAGTTAAAGGCCTAGAAGAGGTTGAAAAATACTTCAATAGCATTTCGCAGATACTGAGACGCCCTGAGGTGTATACCGCTCTTCTCAATTGCTATACTAACGAGAAGTCTGTAGGGAAAGCTGAGGCCATAATGCAACAACTAAGAGATATGGGGTTCGCTAAGGGCACATTGTGCTACAACCATATGATGAACCTCTATTGTAAAACAGGAACATGGGAGAAAATGGATAAACTGATGAATGAAATGGAGCAGAAGGGCGTAAATTTTGATGAGTTCACGCTCACGATACGGCTAACTGCATATGCCACTGCTGGAGATTCTGAGGGGATGGATAAAATATTAGCGATGATGGAATCTGATAAGCAAATCATTTTGCACTGGGATACTTACAGTATTGCAGCAGAGTTGTATTTGAAAGTTGGGCTGGTGGAAAAAGCTCTAGAGTTGCTGAGTAGACTTGACAGCATGATTTTGACTCGTAAGAAAAGTAATGGTGCATATAATGATTTGTTAAAACTGTATGCTGAAGCTGGAAAGAAAGAAGAGGTGCACCGAGTGTGGGATTTGTATAAGCAGAACATGAGAATTCTTAATAAAGGTTACATTAGTGTGATGAGCGCATTAATGAAATTTGGTGATACAGAAAGAGTTGAGAAGATCTTTGAGGAATGGGAATCGGAAGCTTTGTCCTATGATTTCCGTGTTCCAGACGTTTTGATTCGCAGTTATTGTAGAAATGGTCTTCTGGGGAAGGCTAAGGCCCTAATGGACAAAGGAATATCAAAAGGGGGTGTTCCATGGGTCACCACATGGTGTCACTTGGCAAATGGATACATACATGAAGATCTAGTCCCAGAGGCTGTAGAAGCATTGAAGAAGGCCATCTCAATATGCCCGCCTAATTACAAACCTAGCAAGGAGACCTTAGCTACATGTGTAAATTACTGGGAAAAGCAGGGAAATGTGGATAATGCAGCGGATTTTGTAAGGTCTTTAGAACAGGACCATATCTTCTCGCCAGTTTTTCGTGACAAGTTGTTGTGCTTTATTAAGGAAGAAAAACTCCAAACCTGACCGACACAGCTTGTATGGAAACAACTGATTTGAGCAACTCTCACAAGGTTAGGCGTTTACATCTAAAGCTTTTAGTTTGGGAGAATCTATATTAATGTTATCTGGGGAACAAAGTTTAAGTTTTTGCGCGTCTCCTACCTCCCTATCCCTATCTCCTCAATGTGATTTATATTGACTGAATACATTCAATATATCATGGTGTTGTTGATTCTTGGGCACATTCTCTCATACATAGTTGCATCTAATATTGATTAAGATTGTTGCTTGAAGTAGTTACTAGAGTAACTTAAAATATTCAAATGATGACAATTACAATTTATTACTCAATACAATGAGTCATAATTTAAAGTTTTAGGAGTTTTAATTAAGTAAAGGCCCATATCCCTTCCTAAAAATCTTTACTTATTGTAAATAAAGTAGGTAATTAGTAGTAGTTATGGAGAGTGTGGTGACTTCTGATGATCATTTTGTTGGAACCTAGCGGAGGAAGCACACGTGAAAGTTACACTGCAAGTTGCATGAGCCAAAGTAGTATACTGATGGATTGGCCTAGAAAGGAAAATAGGCAGATGAGCCAATAGAGAACAAACACATTCGCTATCGACAGCTTTCATCCACCTACAACATTCCTCTTCTACTGGAGTTTGTGTATTATACCCAAGATTCGTAGAAGGTGTAGGTGCAGGTGCAGGCGCGGGTGCTGGAGAGGATACAGGTGCAGGTCCTGGTGGAGGCAAAGGAGTAATTGGCAAATATTGACATGCATTGTTCACAAGTGTAAATTGAGACAGACAAAGTGGATGAGGAACAGCAGGGCCGCCGGGCCAAGTTGTGAATTGGCTATTTGATCCTCCTATGTAAATTATTAGGAATAACAACAAACTTGAAACTTTTCCATGATTCATCTTCATTTTTTGCTTGTTATAATAATAGGTGATGATTAAAAAAAAGAAAGATGCATATTCAATATTTGTCCAATGTTAAAGTCTTATATATACTCGTAATGAAAACGAAAGTTTTGCATGCATAATCTTTATATGTTACATTTTCATAGTTAGGTATATTATTATTTTTATCTCAATAATTAAAGAAGACAAAAGGGGGTGAGGAAGACTCTTTCTTTTTATGTTAACAACGCTTCTTTAATTATCTAACAAATAACTAATTAAGTAAACAAACCTTTTTTTGTTGAAATTTAAATGTTTAAAATTGAATTTCTCTTTGCTCGCAAAATTCAATTCAATCACATTTGTGATTTGACTTAGTATAATAATATTGTTTAAGGGTTTTAAGTTATGTTCACATGTGAATGTAAATTAATTTTTACACAATCTAAGTCATTAATTTCATGTAATGATCAATATCATGAATTAATGACAGTAATACTACTGTAGTAGGCATAATACATGGCCATATTAAATAAGTTTTGTTTCAATTAAGCTTTTACTTATTAGTTTCTAGATGTTATATGCCCGTGCAAAGGCAAATCCAGATTTACTTTATTAGTGAATTGTTTAGTATAAGGATGTGAGTATTATTTTATCACGCGTTTAATAGTTATTTATTTATTTGTATTATAAAAATGAAATAAGTTATCTTATAATATATATAAAATAATTAATTTTATAAAAATATTTTAATTTAAAAGTATAAGTCATTCTTACTTGTGATTACGAAGTATGCAAGTAATTTGAATATTTATGTCAACCAATTATGTTGAGTGAGTTGATTTTCTAATCTATCATATACAAATTTTTAAACGATGAATCAGAGTAACGGGTCTTTTATTTCAATTTATTTCTCTTTTTATTTTATTTTTCATTTTAAGCCATTTACAAAAAATGCATTTTTCATAATTTGTTAACTATTAAAATTAATTTCAATTTTCCACAAGTTTAAAATTACAAAATTATATTATATTTTATTTAATACGTTAATATTAAAATTATAAGATTAATAAAAACTTTTATACATTCTACTCATCTTTAATTTAATATCTAAAATTTAAAAATATTTTTACATTATTAAATTTTATGTAAATTTGTATGTCAAGTTAAGATCTATATTTAAGTAAATTTGTAAACAATTTAGTTAAAGTCTCGTTTACTCTAAATATTAATAAAGTCGACATTTAAAGCAAGATCTGATTAGCATATATGCTCAACATTTTCTTAATCATGATTGAGATATTGGATGGAATATAATACTTTTTTCTTCATTATAGTTTATTATTGAACTTATTTGAAAAAATAATTAGTAAGTTAATTATATTTTAAAGTTAATTAACTTCAATAAAAGTATTGAATAAAAAAGAATGTACTATGTACGCGATAAAATTTAAGCTGAAAGAATAATATAGTGTGGAAATATGAACTACTTTCAATTTTGGTTAATTACAAAATTAAATGATACTCCCTTTGTCCGTGACATTTTTTCATTTTTCGAGAATCAAACAATTTAATTTTGATTAGACATTTACATATGGAATTTTCAAATTTTTTGAAATAAAAGTTATATATTTATAAACTACGTAAAGAGTACTATAAGTCATAATAACTGATAATTCAAAATATTGAAAGGATCTATGAAAAAATTATGATAAAAATACACTTATTTGGATGTGACAATTCTAATTAAGAATGTTAAAAAGATATTTGATCAATGCTATGATTTTTTTTTATATATATGTCTCGAACGTCACCGCTCTAGGGTCTAATTTACTTTGTATTATATAAAATATTAGGCCCCCAATTATTGTGGACTTTTTGATATTTTTTGTTTAAACGTTTATACACGTTTATAACTATTCCACCAATTATTTCCTATACTAAGTCTAAAGCCATAAATGTGAAATTTGCTAATCCAACATATTTTGATTCTACTATAGACCTTAATAACTCTAAGAGAAACATATCCTTGCATTTGTCCAAATTAATACAAATTTAATTACCATAGTAAAATTTGTGTTATTTCAGAAAATAAAGATCGATGTTATAATAGATAAATTATTATTTTATTATTATTATAATATTTTAAATTAAGGAGTTCTAGAATATATAATAAGATAGAAATATATTCGAAACTAAATACATCACAAAAGATTGAAAACAAAAAAATTAAATCAAGTTAGGAAGAATTAGGAATTTTGCCATTATAACGTAATATAATAGCTTAAATACGCTTCTCTATAGATATTTTGTGATTGACAATACAAATGGACAAAAATTTGGCATAAAATAGTCTACGTTTTATTCTTTTGATAGTTAATAAATTAAATACATTTTAAAAACTAAATATTTAGCATTGATTGCCAATATTGTGATCCTTTATGTTATTGATGATGCCTAACATTTGCGATTCTAAATTCAATACTTTTTACCTTATATAAATCTTTCTTAAATTATCATAAACAAAATAAATGATGAAAAATCTTTAAGATAGAGGTTCATATTTTTTAAAATAATTTTTTGACTTATAATATAAATACTAGTTTAGTAAATAGTTATTATATCTTTTAAAGAGCCTGTAATGTCTATGGAACATTGGTTAAAGTTGATAACATAGTTATATACTAGCCTGCCATTCTTAGCTAGCGTTTGGCCATAAATTTTTAAATATTTTTGTCAAATATTATTTGAGTAAACATTTGGATTAAATTTCACCATGTATTTAGCCACAGGATTTGGGAAATTTATTTCACCTTTTTGAGAAAAATATGACTTATATCCATAAGTTTTAAAAACTATCAAAACTAACCATAAGTTTGTATTACAAGTCAATTGGATATTTGCTACAACACTAACAAATAGTGTCCATGACACTAGAGCAATGTGGTAATTTGAATTGAGTGCAACAAACATCATTTCATACATCGTGAAGTAGACAAAACACATGACTTTGTTACCTTGAATTAATTTTTCATCATTTTCATCAACAATCATATCACTATTTTATATTCACTAAATATTTCATCACTATTTTGGTGTTCACGTAAAAAAAAAATTATGTAATACAATGTAAACAACTACCATAGAGGGTGTTCTTATAAAAATAATTGTTTGGGGTAAAATTTTAATTTTTAAAAGATTTCAAATAATGAAATTTGGCTCAAATACTAGAAAAACTAGTATAGAAAAATTTAAAATATTTGTCAAAAATATTGTCAAATAATGAAAAAATTGCTTGAACAAATATTATTTATTAAATTTTTTTCCAAATATTATTTAAAAATTCTAGGGCCAAATGGGCCATTAAAATTGTCATTTTTGCCCATTAATAATATTTATTATGACAAGTATTATAAAATAAATAGTTTGGCCTGCACCTTTATTTTAGTTAGTAGTAATATATTATCATATATTCGTTGGAGCGAAGACAATTATGGCTAAAGCATTTTATCATTTCAAATGGGGACAAATTTCTTAATAATTGATTCAAAGAGATATGATCATCAATAAATTAAATAAATAAATGTGGACAAGCAGCATGATAAGTACTTACTTATCCACGATATGTTGGGGCTAGAGGACCATACAATCACTATTGCCTGCCATATAAAACAGTGATTTAACTTATCCACATTAGCAAACATTAACGTAGTGTTTAATCATAAATTTTTAAATATTTTTAAAATATTATTTGAGTTTTATTTTTTTAGAAAAATATAATTTATACTCATAATTTTTAAAAACTGTCAAAACTTACTATACAGTGTATTACAAGCCAATTGGATTTTCATTACGACAAATAACAAGTAGTATTCATGACACTGAAGCAATGTTTTGGAGTGAGTGCAACAATCATTATTACATACTTTGTGAAGTGAACAAAAAGCACGTTACCTTGAGTCGATTGTTCATTTCATCAACAACCATATCATCATTTTTCATATTCACTAAATGTTTTATCACTACTTTGGTGTTCACGTAAAAAATTATATAATACAACGCAAACAAATACTATAGAGGGTGTGTTTGTAAAAAGATAAAAATTTGGTGTAAAATTTTTCAATTTTTGAAAGATCCCAAATAATGAGATTTGACTCAAATGCTGAAAAAAAAGTAGTATTTGAAAATTTAGGACATTTGCCTCAAATATCTGCCAAATAATGACAAGTTTCTATGGACAAACACTATTTGTCAAATTTTCTCTCAAATATTTTTGAGAAATCTATGGTCAAACGAGCCCTAAGAAGTTTGCCATGAGTTGGGTTTTTCATCTAATATTGAGTATCCATAAGTTCAATTAATTTGAATTTGCACCGGCACTTAGCACCCCTTACCTACCAAAAGTTTTCGAATCTGGATCGTTGATTATGATAGGAGCAGCTCATCTAGTGCACCACATTATTTGATGGTGCCACTAGAAAAACTCTATAAACTCTTCCATGAACTTCAAGATATATTGGGGCCAAAGAGGGACAATAATAACTCAAAAATGTCAGTTTTGAACTCATTGTGCTTGAGCCAAAATCTTGCTTGTTATAATTTCACATGTATGATTTTAAATGACTTGATGCTCATCAAAAGATCAATTTTATACAATGTGTACAAGATGAAAGTGCCTCAAATGAAACTAGAATAACAATAGGCAAAGAAGAAAACAGCAGAAGAGGAAAAGGGAAATTCTGTTTAGAGACTTGTCAGCCTGCAATTCCCTTCTTCTCAATCTTGGACTACTATTTGCCACTAAATGATATGAGTTAGGATATGTGTATAAATTCTCTGAGTTACCAAATACCCTCTCGTAAACCATCTCTCCGAACATTCCAACAACTGGATGAAAGACTCCAACTGATGTATTGTTTCCGAGACTGAATGAAGGAGGCGATGAACTGTTGAGGTAACTGGCATGGGGATCATAGGCATTAGGATGTGGTGGTTGCTGAGAAGGGTTAAAGGAGTTTGACATGGATGATGGACTGAAAGCAGGTGGCCTGGGAGGCACTTTTAGAGTGAGCTTGTTTTCAGGCTCAGATTCAGGTAGTGTTTCCCCACGCCCGTAAAGAGGGACTAAATCTGTTTGGGAGATTTCAGCCTTGCAAACTGGACATTGAGGGCGTTCATCCGAAGACAGAGAATCACTCTGAAAGTGAAGCCACTTGTAAATGCAGGGCCAACAATAGAGATGGCCACAAAGAGTAATAACCGGATCGCGGGCAAAGTCCAAGCAGATGTTGCAATCAAAGCAGGCAGAAGTCTTCTCTGAGTCTGATGATTCTGGAGTAGGGATCGATTTCCACTCGTTTGAATAATACTGCTCCAAGGCCATGAGATTTGTTTCTGAGCACTTGTTCAACCCAAGGGTCTTCCCAAATCTGAAATCACAATCTTAGTTAGCAACAAGAAAAGTAAATTTAAATCAAAGTATTAAAGAAATTGTTGAGCATTAGTAGGCCGGCTACTGCATTAAGAATTAAAAGGGCGGGGAGGAAGCTAGATAGTAGCTTCCAAGTTCCACCTACCACACAACAGAAGAGAACAAAAAGACAAAGCATGTGAATAAAAAACAAATTTTATAAGATTAGTGAAGCTTCAAAGCAATCCATAGCAACCAAGGGAGATGGAGATCAGTTAGATCAGAAAAATGATATGCACTTTTTTTTCTTTTGACGAAAAGAAAAACCCGCAGCCGCTAACCCTTTGGGTGCGCCCAAGTAAAACCCCCGCTTCTATGTAATAGCTCACAAACCACGTAGGAGAGGAAACCCGAACTAGGCAAGCCTGGTGCGACCAGCTCGATCGAGACAAATATGAGACCTCCAACATGGAAGTCCCAAGCCCAAACCTTATCTTGTTTCTTTCATAAAAATTATCAGAAAAAGATCAAATAGCCTATTCTTTCCACTGCATCAAATCAGGTCTACTTAGAACTAAATTTCCAGAATTAGTTGGGCAAACTAATTGCATCAGTTTGACAAAAATGTCTCAATCTTGAATCTATCTTATAGTCAAATCTTAGTTTAATCAAAATATATACCCCTTAAACTATCCTCTCCATCTTCCTCATCTACCCCCAATTCAAATGGTTGAAAAAACTACCAAACATGATCAACAACAAATGTTCATTTAGCATTCATGGCATTTTCAGATATATCTAATGAAATTCTCTTCTATTTCATAACCATAAGGTCAAGAAAATCCAAAAAAAATCATTTGTTTATGGCGGGTAGAAGGTGAAGACTTAAATAGTATCAATAAAGATCATCTATAGTAGTACAAAATGATCAAACACAAGAATTTTTTTTGAAGATAGTACCATACAGATCAAGAGAGAAAACCCCATCAAAGATCCAACCTTTACACACCAATAATCACCACAGAACAAGGCAAAATCAGTTTTAATATTCAAGAAAGAAGAGGAAGAGCTAAAATTCTTACCAATCAAGCAAAAGGGTTGAAAAAACAACCAAAGTTTTAGACTTTCAAGCTTCGAATGGAGAATCCCAGGTGATTAAACAGAGGAAATAGAGAAGAAAATAGGTTTCTTTAAAGAGGTAAATAAGAATGGCTGAGCTGAGAGAGAGGTAATGGTGGAAGCAGTTTTTATAACAAGAATTTGGAACAGTGGACTTTCTCCTTAGTAATCAATGCTACGTGGCTGATTATGACTGGTCTTTTTTGAGTATTTGATTTTCTTCCGCAGCCGCTACTCTTTCGATACATGGTATAAAAAATTGAGAAATTGGTTTTATTACGGAGCAGGTTATAATGTTCATACCAATCTATTATGCGCTTCTGTATCTAGTATTGGGTAGACCTCATACAATAATTGTCCTAGCTCTATCATATTTTTTGTTTCTTTTCTTTTGGAACAATCACAAAGACTTTTTATTATCATGGATCTACTACCAGAAATTTAATACGTAATCTCAATATTCAATGTGTAATCTTGAATAATAATTTCATTTTTCAATTATTCAACAATTTCATTTTACCAACTTTAATGTTAACTAAATTAGTCAACATTTATCTCTTTCGATGCAACAACAAAATCGAATTTGAAAAGTCTTAAACTCAAACCACTGACCCCTTGAAGAGTCAGAGCACTTGATTCTTAATTGAATCTTCAATTTTCTACCTAATTACTACTATTCATTTTTCTTTTCATAACAACCTTATTCGAGTGCTTGTCACATCAAGTCGATTGGAATGATATAGATCTTTTCGTTTTAAATTAGAATCAAATTTAAAGAAAAAATTTAATTATAAATATTATTATTGATAATAAATTATATAATAAATGAATCTAAATTAATAAAACTTTAATTCATAAATTAGATGTTAAGTGAAGAGCAAAAACTATTAGTTTAGCTCCCTTTTTGGATGTGTTGTAAGGTGTTTACAATTGAAGTACTAGAGAATAAGTAATATTCTGGGGAAAAAAAGAAGGATCAATAATAATATCGATATTTATTAAACGTGAGCTAATTAATTTATTGTTTCTAGATTGTCCTTTCAGTAATTTTTTTGCTTTCTAGAACACAGGTTTTACAATTCTTAAAATAGCTACAAACAATTTGCCGACTAACAATATTTAAATTAATCAAACTCTTTTTTTTTTTTTTTTTGGTAACAAACACAAACAAAATGACATCTCTCAGAAGGGAACAAAAATATTCTTTTTTTTTAAAGAAAAAGAAATTATCTTAATGGCTCTTGTTAATTATTTCTTATATTTTTAATTTTATTTTTTTAATTTTGACTTTGACCTAAAACTTTATAAAAGTAAATGTTTTTATTTAAATTTTATGATATTATACTGAAAATGTATAAACCATATGCTACAATATTTTTTAATTTTGTGATTTTAGATACCACAGGTGAAAATTAAAATTAAAAAGTTACTTTCTCTATTCTATAATAACTTAAGCTTTGAGTTCTTTTTCATTTTTTAAATTAATTTTTATTTTTTAATTTTCAAGATTATGCTTTTCATTTACTCTTTAAGTTAATATTGAAATTAATTATTACTCCTAATATTTAGTTTCTTTTTACAATAATTAATAAAAATAAAAAAAAAATTTATTTATATCTTAATCTACTTTTCTTAAAAGGTACGAAACACTTCAAAATTTAAGTTTTTATGAAATGGAAAGAGGCCGAGTGGAAAAGTTGGTCCTACTACAAGAAAAAATTGTAGTAGTTGAAAATGTTGAGATACAAACACCATTTTTAAAAAATAATAATAATTTTCATGAATAAAAAGATATAAATCACGCTCAAGAATGAGTACTAAGTACACATGTTCCATTTTAATTTGTACATATTGTTATAATCTATTTTACCTAATTTTTTTCAAAATAAGCAAAGTGCAAAAAGGTGAAGAATGGGCAAAATATGTTGAGGTATTCTATAATAATTTTTCCAATATTAACATTATCTTCTAGAAGTCCTTTTATCTAACTAACTTACCTTATCTTCTAGAAGTCCATTTGTTTAATTAAACTTACTGTACTTAATCATGATCAAAGTCTTTTTTTTTTTTTACATTAGTTTAGCCAGACACCTTTTCAATTAAAAGTGTATATTATTATTTTTATGGATTATAGGAATGATTCTATATGAGGCAGAGGAAAAAAGTTGTTAGAATAATTAAATTATACCAACATCTTTCATCAATATATTATAACTTGTAACAATTTAATATGATACGTAAAAATTAGAATGAATGTAATCAAATCTTATTTGATTGTTACAATTTGTGATCAATTGATCAAAACATGCTATTTTTACCTATAAGACATAACTTATCATCAATTGAACAAGTTCATGGTGTCTGACTTACAAACTGATATATCTGATGGACAACAAAAAATTTATGTAGCGATTTTTTTTTTTAAAAAAAAATTGTTAAACATGCAAAATTATCAGTCGAGTAACAGTTTTTTTTTTCGTTTTGGGCCTTTGATAAAAACTATTTTGGGCTTGTTTGATGGCCACTATGATCCATTAAGCCCAAATTCTTCTATTTTCACCGACATACCCGTTTGAACAACATAAACTTTTTCCCCAATTTCTAGTAAATTTGAGCGGATGTCCCCTTATACCCTAATAATTTTGGAATTTTAATTTGAAATTCTGTTTACAATTGTGCTCTCGTCATCTCCAGTGGAATCAACACTTTTGCAGGTTTCTCTTCGGAATTCTTTTTCTCTTTTACGATCCTAATTGTGATTGTGGCTGCAGAAATTAATTAATTTATGTTTTATGTGCTCTTGCATTCTCTTCCTTTTCTTCAATTCATTCATACTCCTGGTCTCCTGGATGTTGATTGTTTGATAACTGTGTTTTTAATTATTATTTTGTTGTTGATGAATTAGCCCAATTCGCGTCTGTCCCACTTTGGATTTTGTATAACAAAGCTTCAGTAATGGCTTCCACACAATGTACATATAGAAAAAAAATAGATTTAACTTTTAATCTTTCATGAATTCTATTATTTGATGATCATTTACAGTAAAAGAACTTTTTTCCAGTTATTATATGGGATGTGTCTATATTGGGTGCTTATTTTGGGAGCTGCATAGAAGAATGTATGTTCCATCTTTACCATGAGCTTCCTTTTTTATAGAACCGGAAAATTTTGAGCTAATTGTGTAGGCGGTTAAGTGGTGATAACCATTATAAGAACTATGGAAGTGCATTCTTTGTGCGTTCAGTTTTCTGTTTTTTTTTTCAATGGTACTTGCGTGATGTATCTGTCAGATAATAATATATGATACGTTTGATTGATGGTATTTGCTAAGGATGGTATGACACTTTGGCAGGTTGAGAGGTGGACGTTAAAATAAATTGAAAATGAACAACTCTTCTGCAGGGCCATCCTCAAAAGCTAGAGTAGGAGCATCACAACCTTCAGAAAGTTCACTTAAGAGGAAACGTGGCATGTTTCAGAAAGATTGTTAGTAACTCTTTATGTAGATGTGATAATAATGTTAAATCACTTCATCTTGTTTTATTTATTAATATTTCTTTTATTTATTACACAGTGCAACACATGATGTATGGTTTTGGAGATGATAGCAATGTAAGATGCCTCTTTGTTTCACTTTTTATCTCTTCATTGTTTTTCATCTGCGCATGTCCATGGTGTTTATATGCGTTGATTGTTGTGTGTATGGCAATACAGTGAATTATGTCAAGCTGCTGTCACCTAGCTTTTCTTTTCTCTGTACAAACATTGGTAGTGGGAAAAGTTGCAGTTTGTATAGAACAGATTGAATATGGCCTTCGCTTGTTACTTAATGTTTAACAAAAATCACTCACCGGCTATGGGAAATACTTTTATTTTCTTTGATGATTGTTCTAAGCTTGTGTCTAGGATCTAGCAATAATGTCTGAAGGAACTTTTGGGAGGACCAAGGACCTGTGCTGATTCTAAGGAAAGAACAGAAACTCGGTGTTGGAGTTTTGTAATGATGTTGTCTAGTTGTCTTTTAAAAGGAATAATCTTTGTTGCTGGAGTACAGTCCTTTTTCTTGTTTTACCACATCTTGCTTTCCCTGTTGCACAAGGGAATAGAGCGCGGTCATAATGCATTAGTGACTCCATCGTAAAACAGAGATAATTTTGCTGGAAGATTTTCTTATTGATATGTTCCCTTTGGCAGCTGTATGTTTATTGTTTCTAATTTAGTCAACTAATACTGGACTTGGAGATGGTTGATTACCTTATAGGTTACATAAAAGATAATGGTCGATTACCTGTAAATATCAAAAGAATTGTCTGGAAGTTATTTGATTTTCTATGAGTTGCTGGTATTATTTTGTCCCTTGATCTTTACTAAACTAATAGTGTTGCACTATCAGCCACTTCCAGAAACTGTGTCACTTGTTGAAGACATCGTGGTGGATTATGTCACTGATATGGTGAGTTGAACTTACTACTATACAGTGCTATTCTTTCGAAGAGGTTTCAGAATATACATCTTCCAGATAAAACTTTGCATTCTACACAATTTATTTTCTTCAGTATTTGATTTAGAAGAAACATGCATATGGTCCTATCTTTTAAGCTCTTCAACTTGGGTAGGTGCACAAAGCTCAGGATATTGCAACCAAAAGGGGGAAGCTTTTGACCGAGGACTTTCTGTTCTTAATTAGAAAGGTCAGTCTTTTTGTGAATTCAACATGCATATATATAATATATATGCATATCTGAATCTGCAGCATTATGGCGAATATTTAGTTGAAAAATGTCCGTCTCATTTTCGCTCAATGAGTGGTCTTGAGAGTTTTCTATATTATTTCATTTAAGAACATTAAGGGAACTATTAGACCAGCCTATTAGTGGAACAAAGTCATATACAAGTGTCCGGATAGCCAAGTGTAGTTGGACAGAAGCTGAGATTTGTAGTTTTGCTCATCTCAAGCTTAATTACTACTTTAAGGTTTTATTTGTTGCTATTATTTTGGCTTACCTCATGCGTGTTAGTACTGCTATCACACTGAATAATTGGTTTCATTATGATAGATCGTAGTTTAGTTCATGTATCACCATTATAGAATTGTATCTGAAAATAGTTTCAATGGTAA